CTCTTTCAACTTGTTTCTTCGCGATCTTTGCGTCCGACTTGGTTCCATTCCATCTTGTTTCTTAGACTTTTGCATGTCTTGTGAGTTTCAACATGTGTTTAATTGTCTTGCTTGAGGTGTTGATCATCCATATCACCACTTTGCCTAAGTCTAAGTCCATTTTGCATCCTTTGAACTATATCTAAAACCACTAGCAAACAATAGTAGTCCAAATGATCATGTTGATCACCAAACACCAAAATCCAAACTAAATAGCCCTTGGGCCCATCTTCTTTACAATCTCTTATAAAGCTAATCCCCACTACAAGTTCCATCTTAATGTGCAAGTCATCCACATCATCTCCCACTAATAGCCATGTCATCCCACTAACTTTCAACCTCTTAATATAAGCTATCCACGTCATCTTCACTAAGTGCAATGACTACTTTTAATATATTAAAAATATAGGAGACATCTATATGTTGCTATTTGTTTTGTCGTTCATACACATCTTATAATTTAATATAATTCTGTTAGGCTTTTTATTGGACTTTTTCATTAACTTTTCATTGTAAGTTTAACTCATACATGTGGTGGTCTTATTCTAAGAAAACAACACAGCAACTTATGAGATATGCTTCTAGTAAGATAGATGTTTAGCTTCCCAGGTACTTAGTTTATACTTGAATCTTTCCTCCATTCCACTCCAATCTGTATTATGAAGTTTGTAGAAGTGCATAGGTACCTGAAAGGGTGTGACCTTACTCCCTTCGTCCCTAATTAACTGTCGCCGTTGGTTTCCATACCGAAAGTTTGACTTGATTTGTAGAAAAAATACGTGCAATATTTCTATCTCCAAATATATTTATTAAAAAGATTTAAATATCTATCTATTGATATTAATTATGTACCATAAATATTAATATATATTTTTTATATATTTAGTCAAAATGTTTCTTGGGAAATGAAAAGGATAGATATTTAGGGACGAAGGGAGTACTTCACATCTAAAAAAGTTTAGTATATTTACTCTCGTAACTATATTTGCCTCTCTAAAACAGAAAATCTCGTGACTATGAAAATTAATCTTTAGACCAAATAGTTGTTTAAAGACACAGAGCAATAATTTTACATTTTTGGCTTGCTCCATATCATGGTCCAAGAAAATTAATCTTGCCTATTTTATTTTTGGAAAAAGAGTGATCACTCCAAAATTGAGGCTAAAAAGAGGAAGGTCCTTCAAATTTGACTAGACTCTATATACCTTTAATCCAATGAGTGCCAAACCGGTAAACAGCTGCGTCGTCCTGGCGTAGCTTTCCACGCGGTGGGACGACGAACAAGTGACAGCGGCCTAGACGTTTCACGGTTCTCGTCGGGTCACTTGGGCAGCTCACAGTCGAGACGAGATGTGTTAACGATGTGTAGCCGTGTAGGGTAGGGAAGCAACCTTCGCCGCGAAGATATGCATGTGGGAGCCTGGTTGCATTGCCTGCTCGACTGATGACCAATGTTAGCAGTAGCAAAAGTTTGTGCTCGGGTGCGTAGCAGCAAAGTTGAGAGACACTTTGTACTAATCTTGATCAGCTTTCATGATACTTGACTGATATATATCTGTATATTTAATTTATTAAGGAATATATTTTTTCGATAATAAACCACATGTCCACCAATAAACTCGAGACATGTCAATTTAGTCTCCCGAGATAGTAATAATAGGGATGAAGCGACTTTAAAGAACAATATATCAATTAACTCCGAAATTATACTTGCAAAACTTAGTACTGTAACCACCCTTTAATTTACAGTCACTTTTGAATTTCAGCACTACTCCCACAATATTTTTTAAAAGTGACAAGATGGACCAGACCTGTTTAGCTAAATCTAATTATTACTCGAGACCAGCTAAAATTTAGTCATCTAACTATTAGCCTTACACATGTTTGGTTCCCAGTCTAAAAAAAGGTGCATACATCCCTAGCAATATACTATTAGCCCTCATAAGTTATATGCTATTCCCTCCATTCTCTTTTATAAGACATAAACATATATGAAAAATTAAACTTTAAAACTCAATAACAATAATTTGACTAATACTTTTTAATTATTATATTACAAATTTGATACATTTAGATTTGCAATTAAATATAGTATCCAATTATCATAAGTTTATAAGTATAAACAATATAATGTAAAAATAAATAAATAATCAAATTGTAATTTGGTAGACCTTGGTATGTCCGACCGCACCTTATAAAAAGTGGTAATGCTACGTGTCTTACATCCACCGCGAGCACAAATCGTCACACTCCCGCAGGTCAACCGCCTCGTTGCTTACGCTTTACCTTGCCGCTCGTTTTGCCTGTGAGTTTATTGAAAAAAATCACCCATCAATATCCCTTCCGTTTCCTCCTCCCCTGCCGCAGTGCCTTGCGGCTGCCCCGTCCTGAGCGTGGACGTGCAATCCCCTCGTTGCTGCCACACGCCCCATCCGTCGCCGCTCGCTTGCCCCCGTCGCACGTGCTGGTGCTGGTGGTGCTCGCTCCGCCTGTCACACGCGCCGCCCGCCAGCCCGAGCCAAGCCCGGTGTTGGTGGCACCGGTGGAAGTGGTGCTCGCACGCGTCGATGTTGCTAGATGCTAGTGGTGCTCGCGCGCTGCCGCTTGTCACCGGCTCCCACCCGACAGCCGGAATCGACCGGCATAGGCGCTCCCCCTCCGCTATGTTCCAAATATATGTTTTTATACATTTCCGAGGTATGTTAAAGTTGTTTCATATGGATATTGTAAAAGTATATCGGGGATGTTGCACATGTTGCATATGTTGCAAGTGTTTTAGAGACATGTTGTAAGCGTTTGTTCAAAAAGTTTCATCTGTTCTAGATGTATGTTGCAAGCGTTTTGATCCGGATGTTGCATATGTTTCACACATATATTGCAATAATATGTTCCAAATGTTTCACATGTTCTAGTCTTCCATTGCAGCAAGGGTTTTTTTGTTGCAAGTTGCAAGTGTTCTATCTAGATGTTGTATATGTTTTCACACATATGTTGCAAGTGTATGTCCCAGATATTTCATCTGTTTCAGACGTATATTGCATTCAAGTGTTTCATGTTGCACGTGTTTCTTGCGGTTTGGAGAGTCAAGGGGCATGGGGGAGTGACGGTGGTAGAGCACGGGTGCCGGGGAATGGGCCGTGGCGAACCGGCGGATGTGGCGCGTGGCACGCTGGGGGCTGGCGGTCGGGGGCAAGGAGAGGCGGGGTGCGCCTGCGGGGCGGGGCGAACGGATGGGGGCGGGAAATCAAGGCCGACGGGCGGATTGCAAGCGAGTCTCGTACGGACACGACTACGGCGATGCACATGCGGGCATGGCGAATTAGTGAGCGGAGTGCAGGCTGTGCAGGCGCACGCAGGAAACAGCCGTTTAAAGGAATCCTATCCGGTCAGCATGTTCCTATAAAAAGAGAACGGAGGAAGTAACAGCTAGCTAAGAAGTTGACAAAAACTAACTCATTATTTATTAGCTAAGAAGTTGACTAAAACTAACTCATTATTTATTAGCTTTCTTATTTATTAGGCCCTTCTGAATCCTCTGGATTAGAATCGGATGAAAAAATGACACAATCGTGTGTCTCATCCAAATGGACTAGATTTAAGAGAGATTTTAACTCATAGTTTTTTAAATCTTGAAATCTAATAAAACTGTTAGGATTTTTTTATCTAAATTCTTAGAATCGCTTGGAATTCAAACCGACACCTTTGATAGACAAGAGCTAATTTTCACTTGGACAGGCAAAGGTAAAGTAGAGTTGGTAATTTAACGCGAGCCTAAGGACGTTCTTAATGGTTTCCAAATAACTAGTTTAGCAACAATTGCATTGGTTATCAGGGAGAGATCAAATAGCCAGTGACTCTCAAATAACTAGTCTAGTACAATCTTCTATAAATAACTCTTTCACGGCTCAAATAACTCTCTACTATAATGTTTTTTTTTATTATTTCTAAGTCTAATCTAGCTATTTGAAAGTTGGGACTGAGAAGTTGTTTGCAAGAAGAAACACCAGAATTCGAAGAACCGCCGTTGTAATCACCGTGGTTATAAAGGCAGCCTGCAAGCCCGGAAGAAGACCCCTCCTCTCCCTCTCCCTTCTGCACTTTCTCGCAACCCACGCCGCGTCCCTTCCCCTTGGTAGTCCAGTGGAAGTGGAACCGTCAAAATGTCGTCGTCCTCGACGATGCCGCCGCCGGCGTCGCCGCGGGAGCACGTGGAGAGGATCCGGCGGGAGCGCTACTACATCGGGCGCGGCAAGCAGAACCCACTGGCGGAGGACATGCACCAGGCCGTCAACTACCTCTCTCAGGAGCTCTACTCCAAGGACGTGCACTTCCTCATGGAGCTCGTGCAGGTAATCGGTCGGCCGGTGTAATCTCCTTTTGGCGTTTCTCTTGCTGTCGCTGTTCTTGTGTGAACCGCTGTGTGAGTTGCCCTTTCTGTGTGCCATTGTGTTCCATCAGATTATTTCTGTTTAATTTGGTGTCAACTGCCAAAGAATAACTACTCTATATGTGTGTATGAATTTGGGTACCGATTTAGCATAATTCTTTTATTTGTTAGCATAATTTGTCAGCCCTCCTTTTCAGTATTGTGAGTTTATGTAATTATCATAGTTAAGCCGTTGCTCTTGTTATTTTTTCCTACATAAGTTTTCCACGTGGTCAGTAATTATTGTCGAATTTAAAAAGACATGTAGTTGTCATAATCCTTTTCTTCAATGTTGAATAGCAGAACTAACTGGTAAAACAAAAAGTTCATCTTCTTGTGTGTCCTCTGTATTTATTTCATTCCTCTTAACCTGTGAAGCGAACAAAAACACTAATCCTTTTTTTTAGAATAAAAACACTAATCCTTGGAAGTTAGGCATTGTCTGTGGCCACCTTATTTATATCAGTTTGCAGGTGTGCTTGTGCTTAAATCTTAATACTTCGTCTCATACTTTACTTTCTTCCTCAAAAAATAGAACGCTGAAGATAATGAATACCCTTCTGAAGTAGCACCTTCTTTGGAGTTCCTCATTACATCAAAGGATATTACTGGATGTGGTGCATCCTCAACTTTGCTCATCTTCAACAATGAGAGGGGTTTCTCTGCAACCAATATAGAGTCAATTTGTCGTGTTGGGAAATCAACAAAGAAGGGAAACAGACATCAGGGTTACATTGGAGAGAAAGGTAAATATTCACAGTTTTTTTCATTTATTTTGTTTCCTAAATCACCATTTAGAAAAAGAAATATTCATCCACGGAGATAAAATTAGTTAGGACCTTTTCAGTCAATTTCAGGCAAATGATAGCAGTAAAAGATCATACAATATTTTAATTTTGAATGACTAAAACTATGTTCAGTAATTAATATGATGCTGATCAATTATATCATGGGAAAACATTCCGTGGAATCGTGGAAACCACTTGAAAAATATATTTAAAAGTTTTTTTAAAAAATGACACTTGGCCCCTCCATATTGCATCCGATTTGTAGAAAAGTTGAGTTCATACAAAAATCTAGGTGCATTTGCACTAGAACACGAACGGACTTGCATCTCAACTTTTAAGACATGTCCGATATATGAATTTACTATGGACGTGCCAAGTTTTGAACTTATGGTAATTTCTACCAATAAGGTGGTTTCGACCAAATAATCATAGATCACGCCATTTAAAACAATATTACATGAAAGCTATGTCTTTTCTAATTTCTTTTTTGGTTGCCATGTCTTACAGTGGTAGAGACCTCATTGTGGTACAAGAGCGTATGCTCATATTATGCATTAAAATAAATATTGTAATTGTTTTTAGACAAATTTTTGTAATCCTATCTAACTAAAGTAAGGCCTTTAAGACAATTATTTTAATACACAACTACACATGTTATGTTTTGAGATGCTAGCATTAGCATTCATAAACTAAACACTTTGGATGGATTACTTTAGTCAAATTGATAAACATATTTTTAGATGAATTAAACAATAGTTATGCTAATATTATGCATTTAAATTTAAATTTAAATTGCTGTGAGCTGTTTATTTAATTAGATCAGATCGTTAGGATCATCCATTATTTCCTAGGAGGTAATAGGTAAAATATATATTTATTTAATTTTATCTTTTATAAAATAGGTAAGGTTTAGATATAAAGAACCTTCTAGATCTAATTGATGCATGCACGATCTATTGGATGTGGTATATCTTTTATTTTGCAACTTTGGACATGACATAATTTGATTAGGATAAACTGGAAAAGATATAAGTATGTAATTACGAATGTAGATATATATGCAAGAGATATACGTAGCCATTTAAAATATATGTGGTATATAATTATGCACGTAGATATATAAATATGCTATAGCAATAGATACATGTTAGGCCATACGGCACTGCTCCTGAGATTAGGGGATTAGGGATTTTTGTTTCCTTTTTATGCACCAACCGATAGGTGGCGTGCCCCCAGATCCGGAGCCATGTTGTCTAAGGGAGTGACAACGGGTGGCGGCGAAGGCGGCGAGCATCACCGGGAGGAGGCTAGCAGCCTGTGCGATCAGGAGGGGGGTGTGCCACGGCCACGACCGGGAGGAGGCTAGCGGTGGGCAACAGTTGGTGGGTGACGAGCGTGGCCAAAAGGAGGTGGACGCGAGCGGAAGCAGAGGTTGTTAGCCCACAGGATCACCGGCTCAGGTGCCGAGCACCCGCTAGTGTTGCTGAGCACCCACTAGCTAAGCCGACCACGAACAAGCGTTGTCCGTCCCCACACACTATGGCCAGAGGTTGAAGAAGAGGGAGAACAGAGCATACACACATAGTACAAGATACCAGCGTTGGCCGAAGCCCTATATGAGAGATGGTAAATCTAAACTCTCTTTACTGAGTTACCGTGGTAGTCTATTTATACAACTCTATCATCTAGTCTCAGTACAGCTGCCCTGCTGCAACAGTGACTAGATAACATATAGGACTGACTCTGCGCCGGCCTCTGCATGTGGCTACAATGCTGCAGGTGAGCCGTGCGGCGCCTGCACCTGCAGCGGCTACAGTATCACAGCAGGGGGTCTTTTTGGCGTCGCCTTCTCTTGCTGTGTTCACACAAGGAAAACAGTAGTTTATTCTAACAATTCTTCACCTAAACCTATTGCTATCTCTTGTACCCCCTCCATGCCGATCATCTCCTTCAGCTCCATGAGCTGAAGACGTTCGAGTGGCTTGGTAAGGACGTCCACGAGTTGCCGACCAGTTTTGATGAACTCGATGACGATCTGTCCTCCATCGACATAGTCCCTGAGGAAGTGGAACTTCACGTCGATGTGTTTGCTCCGGTCGTGTAAAACCGGATTCTTCTCGAGGGTGATGGCAGGCTGGTTGTTCACCATCAGTGCTGATGGGTGAGCTTCCACGCTGGTCAGCTCGCCCAGTAGCCGGCGCAACCACACAACTTGGCACGCTGCTGTGGCCGCCGCTACGTACTGTGCCTTGCACGTAGATAGCGCCACCACCTTCTGTTTCAGCGACAGCCATGAAATTGGGGTCGGCCCGAGGAAGACGAGCATGCCAGAGGTGCTTCGTCGTCCGTCGATGTCCCCTGCCATGTCTACATCGCTGAACACAGTGAGCTGCAGCCTACTCTCATCGGTCTTTGGGAAGATGATCCCATGATCCACCGCCCTTTGACGTAGCGCAGTAGCCGTTTCACCGTAGCCCAGTGATCCTCTCTAGGATTCTCCATAAAGCGACTGATGTAGCACACGGCGAACGCAATGTCCAGCCTTGTGTGGACAAGGTAGCGCAGACCACCGACGATGCTCCGGTAGAGTGTTGCATCCACCTTCGCCGCGGTACTGGCCTTCGTCAGCTTCAGCCGCTCCTCCATTGGAGTCATGCATGGCTTGCACTCAGCCATGCCACTTCGCTCCAACAGCTTGGAGGCATACGCGCTCTGACCGAGCGTGAGTTCCCCCTTCCCCTGTCTCACCTCGATGCCGAGGTAGTAGGAGAGTGTGCCGAGATCGTTCATTCGAAAACGAGCCGACATCTCGCGCTTGAAGCTGTTGATGTCCTCCTTGAGCGCGCCAGTGACGATCAAGTCGTCCACATACACGCCGACGACGAGCTCCTCGTTCCCCCGTCGCCACATGTAGAGCACGTGCTCGGTTGCGCATCGTTGAAACCCAAGCTCGCCCAGCGTGGCGTCAAGTTTGGCGTTCCATGCTCGTGTGGCCTGCCGCAGCCCGTAGAGCGCCTTGCGCAGTCAGAGCACCCTATGCTCCTCTCCCTTGATGACAAAACCTGGAGGTTGCCTGATGAAGACTGTCTCTACCAGCTCGCCGTTGAGGAAGGCCAATTTAACGTCCAAGTGATGGACGCGTCAGTCCTTTGCTGCTGCCAAGGCTAGTAGCAAATGAATCGACTCCATGCGCGCTACTAGCGCAAAGACCTCCTCGAAGTCTATGCCCTCACGCTGAACAGAGCCTCGGGCGATGAGGCGCGCCTTGTGCTTGACAATGGCACCGAGCTTGTCCCGCTTGACCTTATACACCCACTTCAGGCTGATCGAACGGCATCCTGGAGGTGGATCGATGAGCTGCCAAGTCTCATTTTCCTCGATCGCCTTCATCTCCTCCAGCATCACCCGTCGCCAGTTCCTGTCCAGCTCGGCTAGTGCGAACGTGGGTGGTTCCTCTGCACTGATGAGCAGCAGCTCTGCGTCATTGAGCAGCCTACCCGCCAGTCCTGAGGGCCCTGTGCCGCCGACGATGTCGTCCAGCCTGTGGAACTGCACCTCCTCTGCTTCGTGGAGGGCATCCACGAACTCAGTGATGTCACTTGGAGGTGAGACGAACTCGATCGGCATCGATGGAGTTCCCTATTTCGCGGGAGTGCTCAGCACCCTGGTTGCAGTGCTCGGCACTACTTCTGGATAGCTCGTCATAACTCTTGCAGTGCTTGGCCCCACTGTAGGAGTGCTTAGCCTCAGTCTTGGAGTGGTTGGCACCACTATAAGACGTCTTGGCTCCGCCACGGGAGTGCTCGACACCTGTCCTGTAGTGGTCGCCACCACTATAGAACCTCTTGGCGCCACTCCTGGCGTGCTTGGCATCCCTCCAGGAGTGCTCGGCACTCCTCCCTGAGTGCTCAACATCCCTCCCGAAGTGCTTGGCACTGTCCTAGGAGTGCTTGGCTCTACCGCTGGAGTGCTCAGCACCTCTTCCCTAGCGTCTCCACCACCATGGATGACCAAGTGCTCAACGATGAAGGTGCTGGTGAAGCCGTTAGCTTCCCCCATGCTCGGACTGGTCCAGTCCCAAGCCGTCTTCTCATCGAACACGACGTCGCGTGAGACAAGCACCTTGTCTCCGCGTGGGTCGTAGAGTCAGTACGCCTTGGTACCCTCCACGTAGCCCAGGAACACCATCGGTGTGCTCCTGTCCTCCAGCTTGGTGAGGTTCGGCTTCGTCTTCCTGACGTGGTCGATGCAGCCAAATGTCCAGAGGAAGGACATGCTCGGCTTGCGCCCATACCAAGCTTCAAACGACATCTTGCCCGTCAGGGCCTTGGTCGGAGCGCGGTTGAGGATGAATACCGTCGTGGTCACCGCCTGCCCCCAAAACCTTGCCGGCATGCCTTTGACCTTCATCATGGATCGGGTCATGCCGACCACCGTCTGGTTCCGTCGCTCCACCACGCCATTCTGTTGTGGCGAGTACGGCGTGGTGTGGTGTCGCACCACACCCTGATCTGCGCAGTACGCAGCAAACTCCACCAAAGTGAATTCACCGCCGCGATCAGTCCTTAGCATGCAGAGCTTCTTGTCGCTCTTGGCCTCCGCGCGCATCTTGAACTTCTTGATCGCCGTCGCCGCTTCGTCCTTGCTTGTCAGGAGTTGTAGCCACATGTAGCGACTGCAATCATCCACGAGCAGGAGGAAGTACCGCCGACCACCATTTGTAGCAGGCGTGATCAGCCCGCAGAGGTCGCCGTGGACGAGCTCGAGAGCGTCCTGCGCGCGATACTTGGCTGCCTTTGGGAATGGTAGCCTCCTCTGCTTCCCGGCCAGACAGCTGTCACACAGCTCGCCTTCGTGCTTGATATGAGGTAGCCCTCGGACCATCTTCTCCAGCCGACCAAGCGCGTCGAAGCTAAGATGTCCGAACCGGGCATGCCACATCCACGGTTTCTCGGAGTGCCTTGCCGCCAGGCACACCGGCTGCTCTACCTTCAGGTCGAGCAGGTATAACCGGTTTAGGGACCTCTTTACCTTGGCGAGAAGTCGCTGCTCCTGGTCCCTGATCCTAAGGACTCCGTCCTTGATCAGTACCTCGCTATCACGCTCATCTAGCTGACCAATGCTGATGATGCTGGAACGCAACTGCGGGATGTAATATACATCCGTTAGCGCTTGGTGCTCCCTATTTTGGCACCTAAAGATGATGGTGTCGCGCCCTTGGATTGCCACCCTTGAGCCGTCACCAAACTTCACCGTACCGGTAACATCGTCGTCGAGCTTGGAGAAGGATGCCTTGGAGCCCATCATGTGGTTGCTTGCACCAGAGTCCAGATACCACCACTGCTCCTGGTCGGTGTCCACACGTCCTAGGTGAACTTGGGCGCGTGGTTCGTCGAGATTGACAGTCTTCAGGGCCTTCCTAGGTCCTTCCACCATCGTCGCCTCTTCCCTCTCCTCGGCCTCGATGTTGTGCAGTGCATAGAATGTCGCTATCAGGATAGTGGTCTCATCCTCATCGTTAGCTTACGCTAGATGAGCCTGAGACTTTTTCTCTTGCTTGCGATTTGGGCACTCCCATGCCCAATGACCCATCTTCCCGTAGCGCCGACAGGCGTTGGGGTCGACCTGCTTCTTCTCCGAAGAAGCCTTGCCGCGGCACTTGCCATCGCCACCGCGGCTGGAGGAGACTGCCTTCCCGGAGTTCCTCTGAGCAGCCCACTCCTCTTCCGTCAACAGCAGTTTGTTGTTGTCCTTCGTTACTGTCGTCTGCTCCAGGCGCTTGTCCACCGCCCGTAGACGGCCTGTCACGTCCTCAATTGTGAGGGTGGACAAGTCCAGCATCGTCTCTATGGAGAGAGCGATCTGGATGTACTTTGCCAGCAAGGAGTGGAGGTACTTGGAGATCACCTCCTCTTCGTCGATGGTGATGCCATGGCTCCCTAGCTTGCTGATGAGCGTCTGCAGGCGGAGGGGTGAAGTCCTCCACCGTTTCACCATCCTTGAACTTGAGGTTGGCGTACTCCTGCTTCAGAAGCTGGGCCGTCGCCTCTTTGCGCGGTCGGAACCGACGCGCATCGCCGCAATAGCCTCCCATGCCTCCTTAGCAGAGCTCTTCGCCCCCAACGGCTCCCTGTACTCCGCCGGTACAGTAGCGAGGATAGCCTCCAACGCTGACATGTCATCTTCTTCATTGTCGGTGCCCTTGTCGATAGCATTCTAGAGCCGTCGGGCTCTGAGCTTGACCTTCATGGTCACCGACCACTCTCTATAGTTGGTGCGAGTCAGCGTCGGCTAACTGGTGCGGCTGACCTCCCGCACCGTGCGAACAACGACCTCCGGTCGTGGCTGGGCAGCCACAGCAGTGCCACTGCTGTCGCCCATCTCCGAACCACCCGTTATCGCCAGCGGTTAGTCTGGCGACGGCGCTTGTACGGCTCCAATACCACTTGTTAGCCAACAGGATCACCAGCTCAGGTGAGACCAGTCTTGTCGAGCACCCGCTAGTGTTGCCGAGCACCCACTAGCTAAGCCGACCACGAACAAGCGTTGTCCGTCCCCACACACTATGGACAGAGGTTGAAGAGGGAGAACAGAGCATATACACACAGTACAAGACACCAGCGTTGACCGAAGCCCTATATGGGAGATGATAAATCCGAACTCTCTTTACTGAGTTGTCGTGGTAGTATATTTATACAACTCTATCCATCTAGTCCCAGTACAGCTATCCTGCTGCAACAGTGACTAGATAACATACAGGGCTGACTCTGCGCCGGCCTCTGCATGTGGCTACAGTGCTGCAGGTGAGTCGTGTGGTGCCTGCACCTGCAGCGGCTATAATATCACAGCAGGGGGCTTTTTCGACGTCGCCTTCCCTTGCTGTGTTCACACAAGGAAAGCAGTAGTTTATTCTAACAGAGATGGCGGGCGACGAGCGCTAGGAGAGTTGAGTGCGTGCGTGCGACTTGAATTGGGAGGAGGCAGATGGATAAGGTTGGAGTGGGTAAGATGGGGTGGACTCTTTGATGTGCCTTATTTCCAATCTAATCCCACTATTCCGCATTATTCTTTTCTTTATATATAATATATGTATTTGTACAAAACGCCTTAAAACAGTTAGGCGAGAGGAAGAGGGTCACTGCCTAGAGAGCGCCTAATGCCTAATGTAACCTTGCTCAAATTTGTTTCATCAGATGTCAAATCTTTGTAGCATTTTTTTTCATTATCTGTTTACCTACTACAACCAATTCACTGCAAAGGATTACATAACGTACTACATATCTGGTTACTATTTGTGCCTAGTTTCAACTATTTTTTTGTTGCCTCTGATTCAGGTATTGGGTTCAAAAGTGTGTTCTTGATATCAAGTCAGCCCCACATATTCAGCAACGGCTATCAGATCAAGTTCAATGAGAAACCTTGTGCAGAATGCAATATTGGGTACATTGTACCTCAGTGGGTGGAATCCACACCTAGCCTTTCCGACATCGAAGCATTATATGGGTGCTCAAAGGTCCTACCTACAACTATCATCATCTTACCATTGAAGAGTGAGAAGATTGATGCAGTGAAGAGGCAGCTGTCAAGCATGCATCCTGAAATGCTACTGTTCCTGACAAAGATCAGGAAACTTTCTGTCCGGGAGGATAACTCTGATCCCAGCAATACAACTGTTAGTGAGATTTCGATATCCAGTGAAAAGAACTACCAAGCCAGGAAGAACATGCATGCTGAGTCGTACACAATCCATTTATCTGCTGAAGAGACCGGAAAAGATGAAGCTGAATGTGGTTATTATATGTGGAGGCAGAAATTCCCAGTAAAGCCAGAGAACAGAGTCGATAAGCGTGCTGAAATTGATGAATGGGTGATAACCCTGGCCTCCCACATGGCGAGCGTCTGTCCCGTGGGAAGCAGCTATCACCTGGCATCTATGCTTTCCTCCCAACTGAGATGGTAACAAGCTTCCCCTTCATCATTCAGGCTGACTTCCTCCTTGCTTCGTCAAGGGAGGCTATACTGTTTGACAGTCCGTGGAACAAGGGAATTCTAGAGTGTGTCCCAAGCGCTTTAATGGATGCTTTTGTGACACTCATAAAGTCTGGAGCTGATGCATCACCATCAATGTCTCTGCCATCTATGTTCAACTTTCTACCCATAAATTCTTCACAGATCCCACTGCTTGAGCCAGTTAGGTCTGGCATCAAAGACAAGGTCCTTGTGGAGGCTATAGTTCCATGTCAGTCTTATGCTTCACGGAAGATATTCTGCAAGCCCAGTGAAGTTGCACGGCTGAAGCCAGCATTTTGGACTATCCTTGACAAAGCATGGAAACTCGGAGTGGATCTGAAGAATCTGTTGACCCATGGAACCTATATTCTTAGCTCTCATTTTGACAACAGCATATATGACAGTGTGATAAACTTTCTGGAAGTGAAAAATGTGGACCATGAATGGTATGCAAAATGCATTGAAGGCTCAAATCTTGTCAAGGAGGTACATGAACAGCTTTACCTGGAAATTATATATTTTGTTGCAGACAATTGGCAAAACTTTTCTGGTACAAACATGATGTCCATTCCCCTATTGAAGTATGTTGATAGGGGTGGTGTTCTCTCGTTCTGGAGCATATCTAGAGCTAGTCAGTGGAATGATAGGTTGTGCATTGCGTCTGAAAACAAGTACATATCATGGCTAATCAGCTGGAACAGGGAGTTTCTATCTTCTAACCGGTTCTTTCTGCCTCCCAGCACACAAAACAGCTCTAGAAGATTTGTCGGAGAAGATAACTGTGAAAAACTGGCTTAAGAATCATGCAAGAGTGGAGGTTGTCTCTGTCTATAGCTATGCATCAAGTGTTGTTGATTCCTTGGGTTCTGATCAAAGAGCTGTCATTGCCTTCGCACACTTTCTTTACCACTCTTCCAAGACGCTTCACATCGAGAGCTACTACTTATCAGAACTCTGCCGCACCATGCCAGTAATTGATAGCTATGGCTATGTTGTCAAGGAAAGAAATAGAATTATAGTTCCTGCCAAGGGGAGCAAATGGGTTGGTTTGATGGGTACAAACCCATGGAGGAATGAAGGCTACATTGAATTGTCAGCAGATTACAAGTCAGCAGGACATTTTGCTGGAAACTACACTTCTGAGGACCAGCTACTGGAATTCCTCAAGACAAATTTGCAGGCTTCGGATGTGCCATTCATACACCCACCAGATGCCAGATTCCCTACTGTTTCATCACCTCTAACTGTGGAGAATGCATTCTTGCTGCTGGAATGGATAAGGAATTTGAAGTCAAATGGTGTGAGATTACCAGACCTGTTCTTGACTTGTGTCAAGGAAGGGAGTTGGCTAAAGACGTCGGCATGGTACAAGTCGCCTAATATATCATTTCTGTCCAGCTCCAATTGGGGGAGTCTTCTGCAAACAGGACCTTCCTTTGTTGATATACCAATGATTGATCAACAGCACTATCAAAACAAGCTACATATGTATAAAGAGGAACTCAAGGCAATTGGCGTGAGATTTGAATTCCAGGAAGCTTCAGCTTACATCGGAAGTCATCTCATGTCTATTGCTGCTGGCAATTCGCTGACCAGAGAGAATGTGTACACACTGCTTCGGCTTATTCGGTTTCTAGGAGAAAAGTTTCTATCTCCGAGTGAACTGATCAAGAGTGTCAAAGAGGGACGATGGATGAAGAGTACTCTTGGCTACAGGCGTCCTGCTGATTGTATCATCTATGATTCAGATTGGGCAGTGGCATCATGTATCAGTAACCAACCATTCGTTGATGTTCTGTCCTACGGTGTGGCCATCCTTGAATATAAACCCGAGCTGGAATTACTTGGTGTTATTGTGGGGTTCAAAGACAATTACCAGCTTGTTATTGACAACTTCAAGTTCAGTTCTGATGATATTACTTCTGAGGCTACTGTATTAATCCTCAAGTGCATCCGTTATGTGGGTTCATGTGATGATTTTGTAAGGGAGCTCAAAGATTTGAAATGGTTGAAGACAATTGTGGGATTTCATGCTCCTAACATGTCCTTTCTTGTGGACCCTGAATGGGAGTGCCTTCTAAAGGTCTTTAATGGGGTTCCTGTTATTGATTATGGATTTTATGGCAGTGTGATCAGTTCATACAAAGAAGAATTGAAGAAGACTGGGTTGATCACAAGATTCGATGAGGCATCAAAGGCTATAACCCATATTTTCAAGCAGAAGGTGTTGAATTCATCGCTTGAAAAAGCAGATCTCCTGGCTCTACTAGGATCATATCGTCAACTGGCAACACATGACCTAATTCCAGTTGAGCTTTTCAACGCTATGCGTACTGAAAAGTGGCTGCACACCTCACTGGGATTCCAATCTCCTTCAGATGCAATTCTATTTGATGATGAATGGGAACCTTTGTCTCCAATAGCAAATTTACCATTCATAGATGATGGTGACTCTTGTTATGGTTTAGGAATGGAGATACATGGCTACAAAGATGAACTGAAGAAGTTGGGTGTTACTGTTGAATTAAAACAAGGTGCTAGATTCGTCATCACAGGCATCAGCTTTCCCAGTGACCCTTCCAAGTTGTCCAAAGCTACAATCTTGTCACTGCTTGGGTGCATCAAGAGCTACTTCACCCTTGCAGCTGGACCTCCTAAGGGCTTCCAGGAAAATTTGTGCAAGAAGTGGTTGAAGACATCCATGGGATATCAGTGTCCTAATGATTGTATCCTCTTTGATCCTACACAGTCTTCTATCTGCATGGAAGATGGACCTTTCATAGATGAAGCATTCTATGGTTCAGAGATAGCCTCATTGAAAGATGCTCTTACAAGAATCGGAGTAACTGTGGATATCAAACATGGAAAAGATCTTGTTGCTCGGCATCTGAGGAGCCACAATGATAGGATTACCATTTCTCGGATCTACTCATACCTGATGGAGAGCAATTGGGTGCCTGAAAATAAAAATAGCAATTGGATTTGGATACCAAACGAAATGGATGGTGGAGAATGGGTGACTCCAAGAAGCTGTGTTCTTCATGATCGGAACAATCTTTTTGGCCTGCAGCTTCATGTCCTGGACAAATATTATGACAAAAAGTTGCTTGACTTCTTTTTGTACCATTTGGACGTGAGGAATGGGCCTGGTTCTAAAGATTACTGCAGACTATGGGTCACATGGGAGAAATCCGTCCAGGAGATAGCTGTGTCTGATTGCTCTGCTTTCTGGAAATTCATTGCGACAAACTGGAGCAAAAACACCCAGAAACTTCTTTCTGGTTGTGTCAAAGTTCCTGTGTGTACTGACGGAAAGATCATTTTATCAATGAAGGAGGATGTGTTCATTCCTGATGATCTACTACTTACAGACTTGTTCAGCAAGCTAGCTCAGCATTCATTTTTTATCTGGTATCCTGCTTCTATCCTACCTTCCATGTCTCGAGCAAGCCTTAACTGCATCTATGATAGCATCGGTGTTCAAAGAATATCCAACGCAGTCACCAAGAATGATGCCTTCACCTTAGACAATTACCATTTCAGAACAACTGATCCAAGTAAGGTGATCAAGGTTGGTCTACTCAAAATAATTCTCTCATTCCTCGCTGATCCTGCTTTCGACATTCCTGCTGAAGAGAGGCACAGGATGGTTTCTTGCCTTCTGAATGTGACTGTCCAAGAGAGTGATGAACCAATCACAGTGGGGTATAGTGTAAGATTGTCATCTGGAGAGGTTGTGGATGTGAAGTCCAGCCGAATGCTTAGGTGGGAAAGGGAGGATTCCAAGCTGTACATGCAGAGTAGCGACGGCGAGCCCAGCTTCAAAGAAAAGATTGAGTTTGCGACCTACTTCGCAGAGGAGATATCTCAAGGCCTGCTCTTTGAGATGGCGGATCAGATCCCTTCGCTCACGGAGCTTATTAAGTTTGGCAGCTTACTGGATTTCGAAGACGCTGCTGTTGGGTTCTTGCTGAAGTCAAAAAACCTTCAGATGTTTCCTGAAGACGAGCATTTCCTTAAGCCTTCAATGCTAGGTCTGTGCCCTGAAACTAAACTTATTATTGTGCCTTCTAAATTTTCCCCAAATTACATAACTATATAACCTACTGATGCCACTGTCCCCAACTCTTTCTATACGCAGATGGCAGCAAGAACCATTAGTTCTGTCGATTATGCTCTTTTGATGGTGTTCATGGTCAGTAAATGTTTTCGGTCTTCTTTAGGGCACTATCCTGCATGTATAATGTTTGTATGCTGCATCATATGTTTTCTCACTGCAAACCAAGTCTTATGTAAATTCTCTTGGCAGGTTGCTGGTGACCTACATAAAAATTTGGTGCTGACGTGCTGTGCTTGGAAGCTTCTGAATGTGACTGCCCTGGTGTTTTCTAGAGTCCATCTTGTGCCTAGTCAATCTGCTCCTATATCTCTTGTTTAAGTTTGGACTAATGCGTGCTGGAGTGCAACTTGTCAGTGGTTCCCGTGCAAGTATTAACTATTATGTGCAAACCTGAACTCAACTGTGATAAGTAATATTGTTTCCAGTGCGTTGTCTGATCTATTTATTTCTGATCCTATTTGATGAGTTTGTGTTTGACATGAACAGTGCAGAAATTATAGCTGCAGTGCGGTGGCTTGCTTACTTTAAATTATAAAACGGCTGGCATGGTCGCTGTTGTTTCAGCATGATTCACGATCCTAATTCTTCCTGTGTGCTAAATGTATATTTTAGGCCTATCACTCTTTATTCGGTTGCTGTGCGTTCAGATTTTGGTATATTGGTCAGCACGCAGCTAAGTTTACCATTTCGAATTATTGCCATAGGGAAACTTCGAAACGATGTATCTGCTTTCGAAAATCGAATAGATTGTTGTTTTAGTATATTCCTTTGTCTCAAAATATTTAAGCCCTTTATTACTTTAAATAGGATATCCTACTATTTCCATGTTAGGGCATTTTTTTCGAAACTTTATGCGAGAGCTGGCCTGTATTTGTATTTGATGTGAAAGGTTAGTTTTTCACTAAAATATCTATTCCTAACAATTAGAAAGGATATGGAGAGTCTCTTGAAGATGCTCTAAAGCTACCAGTCTAGCATACCACCATGGAAAGCTGGTGGTTCGGCAGAATTCTCGCACGGAAATGAATCTGAATGTCTTTTGTGCCGAGCAACAAACCGTGTCGAGAGAATCTGTTATTTCCACGTACAAATGCTTCTGATTGTCCATTTTCCCCGTAACGGAGATTCTTCATCTGGATTAATGGGAGACGTGGAGGCCCTCCCAGCGCTGCAATGGATGCAGCCCGGAACGGCAAATTGATTTCAGGAGCAGACCGAACGCGCATTCCTGCAGGTTGTCTCTGCCTTTGTAGTTTGTGCAGGTCGCTAGCCAGTCGTTCGGCGGCGTGACGGGCGCAGGCAGCTCTGATCCATCCGCGGACAGGCGCATGCCGCGCAGCAGCGCCGGTGTTTGATTCGATGACTAATTTAGAGGTGTGTTGGGAGAATGTTGTATGTGGTGTTCGGATGTTAATAAAAAAATAAATTATATAATCCGTCAGTAATCCACTAGACGAATTTTTTAAGTCTAATTAATCCGTCATTAACACATGTTTACTGTAGCACCATATTGCCAGATCATGGGCTAATTAGACTTAAAAAATTTATCTCATAAATTAGTCGTAAACTATACAATTAGTTTCATAATTAGTCTATATTTAATACTCTATGTGTCAAACACCACCTAAATTTGCACATAGTCGATCGAGGTCGACCACCAGTCCACCACCACAAGCATATGATTGGCAAGGGGCAAGAAACAGATCGAGCTGTCGCTGCCTACTGCCCTGGTACGTCGTCTTCTGGACTCGAGCCAGGGGGCTGGGCTTGCAGTTCCTTTTCCTTTCATTCCCAGTCTTGTCTTTAATTTCTCTTATTAGGGCACGTTTAGTTTCCTCCAATTTTAGAATTTGGCACTATGCAAAAAGAAGATTCTCCATCACATCAAACTTACGGTACATGCATGGAGTACTAAATGTTGACGAAATCAAAAACTAATTACACAGTTTGGTTGTACTTTGCAAGACGAACATTTTGAGCCTAATTAGACAATGATTGGACAACTATTACCAAATAAAAACAAAACGGTATTGTAGCTACAGTACCGCGAGAAAATCAGGCAGCGCCGATTCGGTGCCCATCTAAACATGGCCTTAGTTCCCTCTCATCTGTCCACACTGAACTTTATGTGGCATGAATGAATTAAGATTGGTTGAGATTGGATGGCTCAGACAGGAAAAAGATTATTGTTATACCTGGTCAAGTTGACCTAATTAGCCATAGAAAATTTAATGCATACTGTTTGACTTTAGCTACTTGTTGGAAAACTCTGAGCACTAGCTGTGTTAATTATTATTATTATTATTATTATTATTATTATTATTATTATTATTATTATTATTATTATTATTATTATTATTATTATTATTATTATTATTATTATTATCATCTAATTGTATGATAACCGTCCTGTTAATCACTTACTTTGAGTTAATAAAAAATGTTCCCGGTACTCTTCAACTGCAGAAAAAAAAAACAATGGAAAGTTGACTTATCACTAACCATGAAAGCGGCACTAATTGTGGAGTGAGCGTTGTATTTAGACAGTGCCACTCGTGTATTGTGGAGTGATGGTTGTAGCTAAACAATAATTGATACTTATGCCTTTTTCTCTTTGTTTCATTTATTGTTTCATACCTCTTACTAATAAAAAATATTTATATTAAATTGTACTTTTTCTCTTTGTTCATTTTAACATAAGAGGCACAATAGACACTTTGTAGTGTTTATACGATTGTAAACTTATAATCAATTATTTATCTATATGCTTTTTATTTATATCCACAATTTTTTACAGAATATCTTTGTGTATATTTAATATGCATTTAGTTCAAACCTTAGCTTCAATTATGGTTGCTCTTGTTGCAGCTCATATATTATGATGCTGTGAATCTAAATTTTAATTTTCCAAATTTTATCTTACTAATTTATACTTTGATATAGTTTTTTATCCTTTTGTGCTTTCTAGAAAACAATAAGGACTTGAGATCGTAACTTGTAATCTTAAGTACTACGATGGCATAAACAATTGTTTAAAAGTTACATAATGTTGCTTAAGATCGGTGGTACAGGTTGAAGTGAGATCTAGGATGGGTAAAGATGCTAACCTCAATAGGATATTAAAATTTAAGCTTTATAATAATTGTTTATCCAAATGAATCCCAAAAGTCTAGGAAGATATGGCCACCTGTGGGCTGTACTAACCTTCCCTATCTCTTTGCTATTCGAATTTTTTTGTCAAGGAATATGTGCAATAACAGTTATACTATCAATCAATATAGATGTGCCAAACATTTTTTATTAAAATGTGTAAATATATCTAAAGTAACAACTTATATAAACTATATGTCATGGCTATTAGTATAGTGTTAAATAATTTGTTATTATCATTAGTATATGAAATATGAAGCAAATATTTTTCATGATCTTTGAAACATAACATATATATTTATCACTCATGCATGCATGTGTTCATGATTTGAATGATGGTAGAACATGTATGATTATTTAGTCAAATTTTAATATATTAATGTCAATATAAGTGCGTAATGTACAAATATATATGTTTTATGTTTATTTAAACATTTGTTGTAATAGAAGATTTTGATGATTTAGATGTAGATTGGAGGGGACAATTTAGTTTTTTTTTATAATGACATAAGTAGTAATTTAGATAGAAATTTAAGGAGCTATGTAGATTATCTATCATAATAGCAAGTGGGTAATTACATGCAAATTTTAGGGGTTATGTAGATTATTTATCGTAATAGTAGATTGATACTTAGTTATCTATCATGTTTCTTAATGGCATATGTGGGTAATTTAAATTTGGATTCATGGGTTATTTTATATTTTTTACACAGTCATAGAGGTTTTGTAATTGTTTACAATTTTCTAGTTGTTGCAATTTTCTATCCATGTGTTAAGTTGAAACACTATTGCTTATGTATCCTTTATTCAAATTTTATTTTATTTTATTTTAAGAAAATATTCTATGCTCAAGTGTACTCGGCTCTTACAATGTCTCAAATAGTCGTTTTACCTTGCACCATGAAACTAAAGATGTTGAATTTTTTTATATCAAAACATTAGGTATGTAGTAGTATTGTTTTATAAATCATATAGTATTTAATTAGATTGCTAATATTGATATAACATAATGTTTCTTGAATATGTATAAACTTATTTAAGACAACTTAGGAAATTTATTACCATGGAGTATTGATATGACTTAAAGTTGTTAGTCATTGCTATGTGTTTTCTTAAGTATTTTTTCCATGTTCGATAAGATATTTAAATAAATATTTATTTAATGCGTACATATTTACTTGACTAATAATTTTATGTTTGCTTTTAACGTAAATACATAGAAAGTGTGTAATTTAAAAATATACATCGGATGTTGAAATATTTTTGTAATAGGTTATATTAGAATTTACCTCTAGATTTGAGAATTTTTTGTTATTTTTTATAATGGCTACGGTGGATAATTTACATATGAACTAAAAAGTGTTTGTCGATGTTTCACCACCGATAGCCTGTCACGGGGGTACCCGGGGTAGTTTGTTCGGGCTTCAGTGTATGCAGAACTCGACGGTAAACGCAAGAGACAGTCGATTTATTCTGGTTCAGGCCCTCGACCGTGATCGAGTAATAGTCCTACGTCCAGTCGGCGTTAGCCTTTACGTTGGATTGGTTGTCAAAAGTGTTCTCTCTTTCTAGAAACCCCGCCCTCCTTTATACAGTCAGGAGGCCAGAGTCCTAGTCGTTTTACAATGAGAGTTCCTAGTAGGATTACAGAATAATACTACTACTAAGATTATATGGAAAGAATTCTAGTTAGACTAGATCTTCTCTCTTCCTTGTGGGGTATCCCGTGGGTCCTGTATCGACAAGCCCCCGAGCACTTCATGGTTGAGCTCTAGAAGCCTCGTCTTGTTCCTTCAGGTCTTGTCGAGCAGGAACAAGCGTCGTCCGGGTGCTTTTTTGAGTAAAATCGTGTAGCGTTTCTTGGGATCTTCGAGTGGTGTGTGCCTTTTTG